TCATTTCCGGTTATAATAAGGTGCTCTGTGACAGAAACTGTGTGATGATTGTGAATGAGCCACAGATTAGAGAGAATTTTTAAACTCTCGTTAACCAAAGAAAGTTAAGAGATTTAGGTTCTATAGCATATATTCAGTAGCTTCATTATATTTGTTATGTTTTTAAGATAACCATATTTTAGATTTTTAGTGTATCACACCTTATAATTTTATTTATTTATGAATTTATAGTCAGGGAACGTAGGCCCATAGATAGATACCTTAAAGTCTAACATATATACAGATTATAATGTGTTTATGAAGGTGTTTGGCGAAAAATGTATGGCAATAGACTTTATGATGTCGCCTACCATCTATAATAATTGTCTGAGCACATTTGCATGTAGTGAAAATGACACACCACCACAGTGTAATAAAAAAATGATTTTCATCCCACCACCTCGGAAAGTGTAATTTTGCGCTTCGAAATCTGGCTGGAAAATTCTATTTTATTCGCTTGAGCGGCAAAGTAGATTTGAATTTAGAACATCACATATAATGAGTACTCAATATAATTGTAAATTCAAAACGTCATTAAACCTATTTAATGTAACCTCTATGGTGCCAAATTTATGATTAGAACTTTTTAAATTGTGAAAAAATTTAAATTTGGAACCTTCTTGGTTTCTTTGTTTTATTTGCGTGCTTCGCGCCATTCTAGTTTTTCACGTTTTATTGCTTAAATATTTTGTCATTATAAATTGTTTTCTTTTTCATTTTGTCATTTCCTCGCTGAGGTGGGATGAAAAGTTACGTATTGCACTCGAGTGGAAAGATTTTTCACCTTGTGCTCGTTTGTTTCCCTCGCTGACGCTCAGGATTCTAATTTAGAATCACTCGCTGCGCTCGTGATTCAACTTTAGAATCCTTCGCTTGCTCGGTCATCCAAATCGAGCACGCGGTTAAAAAGGAACTTTCCACTCTTGTATAATAAATAACTATTATATTATCGATCTTTACAAAATAGATTGGGTTTTATGTTATATAAACAACTTCGATCAGTCTTTGGCTGAATGTTACTACACCCATAGCCATTAAAATGATTCCTATGTTTTTCAAACCGGTAAAATTAAAAGTCCTTTTTAAAGTAAATATATTATAAAAAGATGTCCGTTGAAATCTAATGACTGTAAATTAAATTATAAATTACGCCAAGAATTACCGTGTATGTCAATATTTTTTGTGCATTTGGGCCAATTTGAGCAATCTCCTTTGCATGTTATTTTTTTATGACTAAATAGGTTAAGATACAATTAAGATGAAATGTAACACCATTCTTTGTACCCTATTTAATGCAAATAAATTGAATTGAATTGCTCTATAAATCCCACAGGAACCTAACACTGTTTCTGCTATTACAAGAATCCTGTGTATCAATCTAAATAATAAACTAAAAATATCGACCCTTCCAGAATGAAACGTAGTAAAAGCCAAAACGGTATTTTTCAATACGGCCAAAAAACAAAAACGGTGAAGTTTGTTTCCCGTATATTTTTTGATTCGCTTAATTTACAATAAACCATTATAACTCATTAAGCATAGATTTTCGGGTTGCTACTAAAAAGAAACTCGGAATATCCTACATTCATTACTTCCAGAGATGGCATGGCTATTACTACAAAAAAACAAGTTGTAAATGGTTTCTACGACATTTTATTTCTGCTTCGCAAATGTAATAATTGTTTGTTAACAATAATTAATTATTGTAATAAAAAAACTGTGACTAATCGAAGCCGAACTACATCAAAATTGTTAGTAGTATCGTGTCTTTTACTACAAATTTTTCAATAGTATTATTTTCCAGTACTGTATTATATATGTTGTATTGAATGAGAAAATATGTCTCTTACTACATACATTTGAAAAAAATATTTCTAAAATTGCTCATTATGACATTTTACAAGAAGAAAAATGGGTTCAGGGCATTGATTGGAGCGTGTTGTAAAAGACATTTTTTCGCGAATTTGAACATTTTAAATATACAGATCGATAGAGCTCGCGATTCTGATAAAGAAACGGTTAAAAACAGATTTTGGGTAAAATGGCTTTTACGACGTTTCATCCTGGAAGGATCGATATTTAAAGGACATTGTTCTGCGTCCATACATTGTTAGCCTAAGAACCAACAATCATGAAATATTATTTTCTAGGTTCGAAATCGCAGGTAAATGACTGTAAAAACAAAGATTATTGACGGACACTTCTGAGAACTTAAATTATTTGGAAAACTAAAATTTTTTTGAGGTTATGTTTAATATTCAATGAAACATAGGTCAACCTATGAACTTAGTATGAACTCAGTATGAATTGAATTAATATTACAACTAATTCATTTTTATTCGATGCGATTTTAAAGAATAGCATTTAGGAAAAACTTGGAAAGGTAGGAATCGTGAATAAAATAAAAACTGTAGTTTTGCTTCTTATTTTATAACTATTTTTCACATAATTGTATCATACTGTATTTTATTTCTATATCACATGTATATTGTATAACTCTGCAGCGTGAATGTGTATCAGCTGCTCTTGAATAATTTGGCAGTATGTATGATCCTGTCAGGATGTTGTGGCACATTCTCTAGCACTTAGTAATAAGGGGTCTGCTATTTGGTAACATCGATGGCATATAAGTTAGCCGAAATAGTTAAATTAAAGAAAAAACAATCGCAAATAAACACACACAACAGGAAATCCGAAACGAGAATCCACGAATGCAAACTGCCTGCACCACAACCACAGAGTACCGAGTTTTATGCCGGCCCTTCACTTGACAACAATCTGTCATTGGTAGTTTTCCAATTACAGCACTACAGCGCATTATGCGGCATAATGCCTGTCGTTGAATGTTTCAACTACAGCAACGCTTCGCACAATCGAGTTCTCTCAAAAGTAATGTTTTCGTCTGATGCGTGCAATCGTGCCAACTCAGTGACAGAAAATTAACAAGTGTTTTTTGAAGTTATACTTCTTTAGGCGCGTTATGAAAATATGATGAGAGTGAAATTTTAAGATGCGCGCGCATCACTGTAACACAAAATTTTAACAGCATGAAGTTGGTCGCTTTCTTGCGTTGCGTTACTTTTGTGTTTACCGCACATTAAGGAAATCTACCAACAAAATAGAAATAGAATCTCTTTAGTGGGTGCTAACGACTGCATTGTGAAGGCCTATCAAAAGTATTTATTAATCTGGAACAACGGAACCAAAGCGCGATTCAGGAGACTACAGCGCCATCTCTTGACCATTGGTGTAGTAGAACCAAAAACCACATCTTTATTTTTTGTAATAAAGTAACAGCTATAGGTATTCATATTTATAATATTTATCCACATGTTTCTAGTTTGTATATTCGGAATACGTGTTTGAGTTTCATACAAGTGCAAATCACATATGTTCTAATAAATTGTATTCAGTAGCGATTTTAATTGAATATTTTGATTATTTATTTATTTTTTCAAATTAAAACTGAACTTTATTGACTGTGTCCTTTTCCAGACTTTTTATTAATTTATTGTAATTAATTATTTGCATGCAATTAAAAACTAATTTTAAACGATGCCAAAGAAGGATAACTTCTCACGCGCCTACATAAGTACACGCACCCATTTTTCTTTAAGTTGGCATTGATCGAAATGTTTTATTTATTAAATATCGTTAGTAATATTATTTAATGTTGAAATTTTTTGAAAGGTTTCGTTTCACTGCAGTTTTTTTTAAATAATCATAGTTAGTTTAAACTGTGTTAAAAATAAATATAAGTATGTATGAAGGTACAAACATTGACTTTTTTTTTAACACTGAACTTAGCGCACTCTGCTGGTGCATTTGAAAACTAATTCACGTTCTAATTAAGTATCAGCAGAATTCGGCATTGTGCGCCACTGAGTCGCATTATGCTCTGTAATTGGAAAACTACCCTTGTCATGCTTCATATGGAATAAAAAGGATAGACTGATGTCAAGTTTTCAAAAAGCAAACACGAATAGCCAAGTGAAGTGCCGGCATTAGGAAGAAAGAGTGTTTTGTTTGCAGTGCTGCCATAGATTATACACATAAAATGGTAGTCTCAGATTATTTTTTAACTTTTTAATATAGCTTACTTAACTGGAAGTGTCCGTCACAATCTAAATACTGACAATTATCGCAAAAAATAAACTAAGAATTATCATAAATGCCAAATTGGTGTTGGTTCTTAGGCCAAATTTAACATTGTCCTTTCATGTAACTCCGTTCCGTTTTAGTGTAAAAGAGTAACAAAATTAACCCAAGTAACCGTTCTTGGGTGAATTTTGGAGCTAAGAGACTAGGGCTAACAGAGCGGATTTGCCGCTTGAATCGGAGCACCTGTCTGATGAAGTAATCTCCACTGGACTGGTGACCGCTTACAATCAGGCGGGTCATTGGGCCTTGTCTGGCATCTTTGTAAAATAGAAAAAATATATACAAATCCTTACAAACTTTTGCGTTTACATAATGGGGTATTCGACAGTATTAAAAATAAAGTGCCAATTGTTAGCATCTGTGTTTAGAATGAGTATTGGCAGGGGTTTTTAATATTTTTACAAAAAAAATAATCATAATTTTACTAAAAACCCACGGAAAAAATAATAGTTTTCTTATCTATTGTCACGTGACCCAAAACCCTTGGGATTGGCGGAGCCTAAAATGACGTCACACGCTAGTAAACTTCCGGTTAAAGTGACATTACATTGTAACGTTTGACGTTTTAATAACAGTCGTGTGACGTCACACACTAGTAAGACGCCATATTGTCCAGAGAAACGTTTTGGCGGCAACTTGAAAAAGGAGTTTTTGATTTGGTTATTTTTACTGAAATACACAACAGAATGATGAATATCCACTTTTTACGGACTCCATAAACATTAGTCAATAACGTGAGATCGATTTCTAAAACTTGTCAAATACCCTATTATTTTAGTAGGAGTAGAGGAATTACTTACTAGATAAACACAGCACTTTCTATTAAGTTACTCAGCACCACTTAACAGGCTAAGTTGGTTATGTCATGATACAACTTAGTTCACTTATGTGAGCATGGTTTGCGGGTCACAGGCGGCAGCGGACTGAGCGAGGTAATCTTATGACACGCATGGATAGAATCGGGTGTGGACATGTTGATGGGCGTGAAGCGGGAGAGACTCGAAGCAGAATAGGTAGTCTGTAAGATACAATCTCACTTACGCTCTTATTAATTTGGATTTCTGACAAATTTTATTTTATTTATTGGAGTTTACTCCTTAAGAATCGATTTGCATATATAAGGGGCCCGGTATGAGAAAAATGTGAGGAGTAAAATCTATCGATGAATGACCTCGTTACGTTTTTGGTGCGCATCCTATGTCGCGCAACTTTCTACTTTGGAGTGTAGGGTATAGGGACACGTGCATAGGGTATACTGCAAAGCGACTATGCCTATATGTTATTGGGTTTGTTTATTTCTCTCAAGTGTCGTCATACTTACATTGAAATGAAATGAAATGAATGAAATGAAAAATCTTTATTGGCCATCTTGTATATAAAAAACAGAGGCAAAAAAAAATATAAAAAAGAAAGGTAAAAAAAAACTTAAAAAAAAAGAAAAAAAAGAGTAAACTCCAGTCGTGCGTCGGAGCTGACACACACATTTTTTTTATTTATTTATTCTGGTTACATGGAAGACCTACAGCTTATCTTAATATACTAGAAATGCATAGTAGCGACAAAGAGCCAATTACAGGTCCTCACATCTAGACATAACTTAAAATTATAAAGAAACTATTTGCACTGTCCAATGTAAAAAATCTCTCGCGGAGGAGCTCGATGGCGCAAGTGGTGTGCGCATTCGGCTACGATCGTTGAAGTTAAGCAACTTTCGCAGTGGTCGGTCATTGGATGGGTAACCAAAAATTTATTATCTCGAGCTCCTCCGTGCTTCGGAAGGCACGTTAAGCCGTTGGTCCCGGCTGCTTCTGCAGTCGTTAGCACCCACCAATCCGCACTGGGCCCGCGTGGTGGGTCATGACCCAATCTCCCTATTCCATCCATAGGGAAGGCCTGTGCCCCAGCAGTGGTGACATAAATAGGCTGATGATGATGATGATGATGAAATGAGGTCCTTATGATAAATAACAGAATAACAAATTACGCACATGTTAATAATAAACACTTGTCTATGAATGAAAAGTGTGGAATAAATTATTATATTAATTTTAATCTCCAAAAAACAAACGAGCAATGATAAGTCTAACTGACGCTTCGCTAGTGTTAAAAAGATCTAAATTTACCTGCTTTGATAGTGAGTTGAAGCTGCTACTCGCTCAACAAAGAAAAGCCAAAAATGTCAAATATATTTGTTTGTATTTGTCTTAGGTTTTCACGCACACCACTCATTCAATAAAACATTTTCAACGGTATAGATGCACCGATTTATTAATTTATGACGTTTCGCATTATTTTCAGATGCAGATAATTCTGACGACGCAGCCGGAAAACGATGATAAATAAATCAGTACATCTATGCCGTTGAAACTTTTTTTATTAAATGTCAAATATCTAATACTGGCTACTTTTACAGACGTGGTTCCCTGGTAATAGGATACGCACGGCGCCATGTATGGGTGTGTGCGGTTATACGTTTTAATGCACGCTCTGTTTGTACGATAATTTTGAACTTTCGAACAATGTATACAACCTTCGTGAATGCATTTTAGAGCGAATGTTTTGTAAAAGTATTTTACTCAATGATTGAAAAGATAACCTGTTAAAACATCACACATAATAATATATATAAAAAAACGAGACCACTGAAGTGAAACTTTTTTAGCTCCGTCCGTATGTATATATATACATGTATGTACATATACATATTTCATTTACTAGCTATTAGAGAAAGAAAGAAAGAAAATAATAAATATTTCCAACACTCACACCAATTAGCCTATCGCCGAAGTGAGCACTGTAAGGCTTGTGTTATGGGATGCTAGGGTAACGGATAAGAATACATATACAGTACATATATAAGTATATTTTTATAGAAATATACATATTAAACATCCATGACTGGAGTACAAATGCACGTATTCATCACACAAACATCTGCTCCCACCGGGATTCGAACCCGGGACCTCTCAAATCGGCAACACCATGAAACCCGGCGTACAAACCACTCGGCCACGGAGGTCGTCAATGTGCGCACGCACTGATTTCTCTTGCCATATATCCCCCATTCAACTCCAGTCGCCTCGCCTGAACACACTTTTCGTAAAGCGTAACGCATTCGCCAGCTTACCCTCCAATGCAAGCGTGCGTAAAGAAGTTTCACTTCTATAAATACAAATACGAGTTGGGTATTAAGTGGCCCACCTTAAAACTGGTCTTCGGGCCAGTTAATAACATTTTTAAAACATAGTCTTCATCTGGTCCAATATAAAATTGTCAGCGGGACAGTTAATTACTTTTATAAATACAAGGGTTCAATTGGCCCAAAAGATTTATTTTTCATCAAAGTCCTATTTTTAAAGACCCGATTATTTCTTGACTGTTGTCAATAAAAAACTTATTTAAATATTTACCCCGTAACGATTCCGTAGCTCAGTGGTCCCATCGAGTCCCATCGGAGCTGGTTGCGAGACGGGTCGATTTTTTCTAAATACTTCATTTTTATTTTTTCACACATGAGAACCGCTATCCACTCCGCTGCCCGCTCCGCTTACGAGTGTGGTGTGGTGTTTAATTAAGGGTAGGATCGGTGCAGGGTGCTCAGTGGCGCATGCTACAGGTCGCCGGCAGCCATGGAGACGCTGTTTTAGCATTTACCTGCAGTTTAATAACAAATTTTTGACAAAACTGGCAATGTCTCTTCTTTGGACATAACTTTTTATGTCTCTTCTTTGGACATAAATGAAACTCCGTAACGTGGTAAACGTTTGTATTTCGATACTTGAACATGAAATTTTGCTTATTTAAATGGATCTAGTACGTCGCCATTACATGAGAACAATGTGTATGACAAAAATCTGAAGGTAGTGTAAAAAGGAAAAAGTTCCTATGAAATAAATCGCTTCTTGGTCCATGGGAGATTGCTGCTGTCGAAACGCAGCACAGTGGGTGAAAAAAAGAGGTCCCCTTTCATAGGATTTTTGAAAAAATAAAAATGTATATTATCCGTTTAAGGTATGCGGTTTTATTGGACATATCAGTACATTGAATAATAAAATAGTTTGGGGAATTTCCTTTTAATCTAACACCATAAAGCACGGGCTTTAGAGTTTCAAATGTATGAAAACGGAATTTGTTTTGCTCATAACTTGTATCGGTCTTCTACGGTCAAGCTGAAACTTATAGGGATTATTACCGGGTCTGTTACGAAGCCATGTGACCTTTGACCTTCATCCCGGACGGCCCCGTTCAAAAGATACGAATTTTTCAAAATGCTTATTAGGGTAATTTTGCTTTACGGGGTTATGTGTCTCAATAAACAGTTTGTTTATGTTTCTTGCCCAGCATTTAGTTATTAATACAGCGCAGATTATTATCTAATAAAACTATACATATATATATAGATAACGACACCATACAACTTAACTTTAAATAAAAGCGTCCTTATTCAAAAGATATGGAATTAATATAAATAGATAAAAGAAATAGTTTTAAGAAAAGAGAACAAGAATACAATATTGTAAAGAATTACAATGAAGTCCTTTACAGCCTACAATTTAATCTTTTGTTTGACAATCGCTTAAAAGCCGCGCGCCATTAACGAGAGCATCATTACATATAAACAATACAAACTCTATTGTTGCAGGTTTTGAGGAATTCAAAGGGTTACCCACAGTCATTACCTGCCGTTGTTTGCCTATAATAATTACTGATTATTTGCTTTTATTGTGGGTAGGTGAATAAATAATACGTTGTTATTATTATTATTCAACAATGACTTCGATTATAATAAATACGGAGTACACCTGTATTTCATTTCACTTATCATTATTGATTCGTACCGTAATGTTCTCTTTGCTCAAATTTTAAGTTGCTCAGAATGGAAGGGCTTGTGTCTAATCTCGACGTATATATATATATGAGGCAAAAATCTTTTAGTGCTGACATGTTATTTCAAAAAGTACTCGATTCAGTGAGATTTTCATTATCTGAAGAACAAAAGACAACTCTTAAAACGTTTTGTGCTACATATACGAGTAATTTTAAACGCAAATGGAAGTCAGCTAATTACACACAAGGGAATTTTATAAAGAAGTTTGCTGACTGGTTGGACCAAGAAATAAAATGGCCAGAGTTTGTTTCACTAGACATAACTGAAGAACAATCAAATATTATGACGAGTTTTGAAGATCCTTCAACAAGTATTTCAACAGTAACAAGACCTAGTTTATCAACGGAATGCACTGTTCCTCATAGTGTGGCTGTGTCGACATCAACCGCTACATTTAGTCCTCGAAAAGAATTTGCCAATTTGAGTCCACTGCAAAAAAGAAGAAGAACTGAAAATCTCATTGCCGAAAACGATTTTGAGACACTTGCTTATGCCCTGGCTAGGAAAGCGGAAAATGAAAACCAAACGGACTTTGTAGAATTAGTGAAGCATTTGATTAAAAAGCCTGAAGATGCGCCAATGCTGCGAGCCTGCCTGAAATCGACGAAACGAACTTGTCATACCGATAAGGCACTCGGTATTTCAACATCACTGAAATTATCGAAATGGCAGTATATTACATTGAGGCAGACAATGAGAGACATGGGGTGTGATATACTTCCATCGTATGATGCTTTGAAGCAAGAGAAGAAGGAGTGCTACGTTGAAAAAGAAGACATGGTAATAACTGAGACTGAAGTTAAACTTAAACTTCAGTCTATTTTAGATATTACGGTCAAGAGACTATTAAAAACTCTGGAAACTGATTTAACTGGCAGTAATTCGACTCTTATCAGTAAATGGGGGTTTGACGGTGCATCTGGGCAAAGCAACTACCAACAAAAAATTGACGGCGATGATTCAAGCATCTTCATGTGTTCATTTGTGCCGTTAAAACTGGTGAGAGATGGTACTGATGAAATAATATGGGA